ATGAATTTGCCAATGACATTTACTGCTGAAATCCTGGCCACACTGCTCATATGCATATGGGTTTATCCCCTTGTGAGTCATTTCATGCCTTTCACAAACACCACCTCTACTGAAATCATTCCCATATTGTTTACATACATAGGGTTTCTCTCCAGAGTAGGTGCTTTCATGTACTTTTGCTGTTTGTTCTGAAAGCTTTCCCACACTGCTTACATACAGAGGTTGTCTCCTCAATGTGTCTGTGTTCAAGATTACCCAATATATTATCAGTGAAGGATTTTCCATCCTGTTTATGTCCATGAGTTTCTTCTCTGCAGTGAGATTTCTCATGGGCTTCAACACTGAAGGGAGAATTAAAACCTGTTTTGTATGGTACAGTTGAACACATACACCCTTCATGGTGACCTCTGTCCCAGTTCTCAACATCATTTGGTATAACACATGAATTGACTTCTGGGTTCTTCACAATGCTACTTTCTTCAGTGAAATCAGAGTACAATTTGGCACATGGCACAAATTCATGGAGCTTCTCCCATGTGTTTCCATGTATCTGAAAGGACTGGAGTTTGCAGCAGGCTTTGCCAAGTCTCTTACACGCCGATAGCTTTACTTGAAATCCTTGCTGCTCATATGATTCGAGTACAGTGTTGGTCATGACCGGCCAACCTGTTGCTGAATGACCAGCAGAGGTCTTTCCAGAAGAAAGGCTTTCATCTGGCTGTATATCAACAACCGTCAGGTGCGCATTTGCATCTGGAGGCTGAGAACCCATTTCTCCACACTGACACCATAATTCATACTCACAGGATTGCTCTGCCTCTTCACTTCTGAGCTGTTTCCCGCATTCTCTGTCCTTATCGTCAAGGTGCTGGTCATCTGAGCTCCTCCCCACAGCAGCGAGGTTCTTAAAGGTCTCCCACATCACATCTCTGTAGAGCTTCCTTTGGGACAGATCCAGGAGATCCCACTCCTACCTGGAGAAGTTCACAACCACATCATCAAAGGTCACCGCCTCCATCGCGGGCGTCTCCCAGAGTCCTCACAGCGCGCAGAGGCCGGAGTCGCAGGCGGCGGTCTGGGGCGGTGAGGGACGTCAGCCAGGAGGAACTCTTAAAGACACAGGGGTAGGCAAACAATTCATTAGCAAAGTCAAATCATATGGGAAATACTTGTAGCAACTGGGACCTCCACTTATTGAGAAGTTTTTGCAAGTTAAAAAAATTACCAACAAAGTGAAAATACAATCCACAAATTTGGAAAAAATTTTAGCTAATAATCACTCAGACAAAGGTCTGCTCTCTAGAATTTATAAAAGTTAAAAACAATTAGGGTCCCGAAATTTAAAGACCCAATCCAGAAATGGGCATCCAAGATGAACACACACTTATCAGAACACACACTTAAATTAAGGAAGCAAATAAATATATGATGAAAAATGCTCCATATCACTAGACATCTGTGAAATGCCAATGAAAACAACACTGAGATATCATCTCACCCCACAAAGAATGGCTATCTTAGGGAAATTAACCAACAATAAATATAGGAAAGGCTATGGGGGAAAAGGAACCCTTCTCCACTGCTGGTGGGAATGTAGACTGGTGCAACCATTATGGAAATCACTGTGGAGACTCCTCAAAAAACTAGGACTGGAAATCCCATTCAAACCAGCTATCCATCTACTTAGGATTTTCCCAGAGGAACTGAAAACATCATATCATATTGATATATGTACATCTATGTTTATAACAGCACAATTTGCGATCACCAAATCTTGGGAACAACAAGATGCCCATCACCTGAGGAATAGATGAAAAAAAAAAGTGGTGTTTCTATACAATGGAGTATTGCTCAGCTATAAAGAAGGATAAACTCACATCCTTTATATTTAAGTGGAAGCCACTTGAAGATATAAGTGAAATAAACCAGAGCCACATGTGTAACTATCATTTGGTCTCCCCACTATAAGAACGCAAAGAAGAAATAAACATAGAAAGTGTAACACAGTTAAAAGGAAAGCAAGAGCTTGAGGATTAGGCAATGAAGAGAAGGCAAGGAGAAAAGCTAGGAAACGTAACAGGGGCAAAGCCACACATTTATACTCACAAGATGGTTAAGGCAATGATCCTGAGAATTTTCAGCGTGTTTCTGAAAATAGCAGTTAATGGGTAGGATTCTCATCATGACTAACTATATATGCTGTGAACTAATCAACTGCACTGAAGATAGCAAAGTGTATTACTAGGGTCATGGTTGGAATGCCTGTCACTCTGGTCTTCTAAATACTTACTGTTTGTCATGTAATACCAATTACTGCTATACTATCTCTCAAATAAATATTTGTTTTTAAAAAGAGGATAATAAATGAAAACAAGAGACAAGAAAAAAATGTCATAGGACTGTCATGCTACAATGTGGCATATGGTTAGATATCTAAATTTCTGTGTATAAATTTATAATTGTTTATTCCAATTTTTAAAAAACATTTTTTATTTTTCATTTTTTATTTTT